TGAAAGGTTTGGACACACCTACTCATTCCAGGGTTTTTCTTTATTTTTTACAATTTTCTACATTGTAGAATAATAGTGAAGACATCAAAACTATGAAATAACACAAATGGAATCATGTAGTAACCAAAAAAGTGTTAAACTAATCAAAATATATTTTATATTTGTGATTCTTCAAAGTAGCCACCCTTTGCCTTGATGACAGCTTTGCACACTCTTGGCATTCTCTTAACCAGCTTCATGAGGTAGTTAACTGGAATGCATTTCAATTAACAGGTGTGCCTTGTTAAAAGTTAATTTATGGAATTTATTTCCTTCTTAATGCGTTTGAGCCAATCAGTTGTGTTGTGACAAGGTAGGGCTATACAGAAGATAGCCCTATTAGTCCATATTATGGCAAGAACAGCTCAAATAAGCAAAGAGAAACGACAGTACATCATTACTTTAAGACATAAAGGCCAGTCAATCCGGAAGATTTCAAGAACTTTGAAAGTTTCTTCAAGTGCAGTCGCAAAAACCATCAAGCGCTATGATGAAACTGGCTCTCATGAGGACTGCCACAGGAACGGAAGACCTATAGTTACCTCTGCTGCAGAGGATAAATGCATTAGAATAACTGCACCTCAGATTGCAGCGCAAATAAATGCTTCACAGAGTTCAAGTAACAGACACATCTCAACATCAACAGTTCAGAGGAGACTGTGTGAATCAGGCCTTCATGGTCAAATTGCTGCAAAGAAACCACTACTAAAGGACACCAATAAGAAGAAGAGACTTGCTTGGGCCAAGAAACATGATCAATGGACATTAGACCGGTGGAAATTTACGATATTTGGTTCAAACTGCCATGTGTTTGTGAGACGCAGAGTAGGTGAACGGATGATCTCCACGTGTGGTTCCCACCATGAAGCATGGAGGAGGAGGTGTGATGGTGTGGGAGTGCTTTGCTGGTGACACTGTCAGTGATTTATTTAGAATTCAAAGCACACTTAACCAGCATGGCTACCACAGCATTCTGCAGCGACATGCCATCCCATCTGGTTTGCGCTTAGTGGGACTATCATTTGTTTTTCAACAGGACAATATCCCAAAACACACCTCCAGGCTGTGTAAAGGCTATTTGACCAAGAAGGAGAGTGATGGAGTGCTGCATCAAATGACCTGGCCTCCACGTAAATGTAATTGCGAGATGCAGATTACCAAAACATATTAGCACACATCTGCCATCTTCTGCCTTTCTCTCCCTCACGCTGGATTGCCTTCTCAGTGTCACGTTGTATAAGGATTTGAAGACAGGCGCAGGAATACGTAATAGGGTTTTATTTTCTCCACCCAACACAAGGTACGTCATGAACAACGACAAAGCCCAAAACAAACACGTACACGTATATATATATATATATAACACAGGGATGTAACCCAAACAAAAGAGTGAGGTGTAAACCTCTAAACAATACACGGGACGAGACCCGTAATAACAAGAGCACAATCTCTAAACAATACATTGGACGAGACCCGTAATACCAAGAGCACAATACACGGTACTCACGAGACCAACGGACATGAGACAATAATCGACAAGGACAATGGGGAACAGAGGGCACATATATACACATACTAATCAGGGGGAATGGGAACCAGGTGTGCGTAATGAGACAAGACTGTCTGCGGTTGTTGGTAATGAACCAAATCAGTGATGCCTAGAAGGCCGGTGACGTAGACCTCCGGAGCTGGTGAACTGAATGAGCAGCGGTACCAGGGGGATCCGTGACACTCAGTCTCTTCGCTAATGATGCAAGTATGTGTTCAGTCTTCTGTCTGTTGCGTGTAGAATATCCTAGCCTATTCATGGCACCGATGTTTTCGGGCCAGTCTTGCGAGCACGGGGTAGGCTGCCTCGTATGAAATTACAGTAGGCTACCGGTTGCCTGTATCGATTACGCTTTTCAGACATCATTGAATGTGGCCCCTTGAAAGCGCCTCAGCTACGGCATGTTTGTTTGTCTGTGAGGGTAGGCTACACTACGGTTTTTTAAATGCCCCCAACACATAACCTTTTCTGGCAGCCTGGTTTCAGAGACGTAACATAGTAAACATAAATCCGGGACTCTCAAATTAGTATGATACTCTATGTTACATTTGGTATGGTTACATAAGACAGATGGTTACTTAAGGCAAAAACAAAAGTAGGGTGGTTGGTCGGGGTGGGGCGTATAACGCGAACGTCTAGCAACCTAAAGGTTGCAAGTTCAAATCTCATCACGGACAACTTTAGCATTTTTGTTAATTAGCAACTTTTCAACTACTTACTACATGTAAGCTAATCCTTCCCATAAACCTAACCTTAACCCTTTTAGGTAACCCTTCCCCTAACCCTAACATTAACCCTTCCCCAAACCTTAACCCTTTAACCTAACTCCTAAACTTAACCCTAACCTTAACCCCTAACCCCTAGCCTAGCTAACATTAGCCAGCTAGCTAAAGTTAGCCACCTAGCTAGAATTTGTAACATATCATACATTTTGCAAAAACCTTTTTAGCAAATTCGTAACATATTGTAACATATAATTTGAATTGTAATTTGTAACATATCATACGGTGACATCCACAAATTAATACATACCATACGAAGCGTAATATATCATACTAAATGGAATGTCTCGGATTGACGTACATATTAATACGAAATGACCAGGTTGTCTCTAGTGATATGAATTGACAGTTTACTTATCTGTAAAGGAATGCTGCTTCTGAACTGGAACTAAAGTCCATCACTAGGCAACCAGAACTGTCAGTCAAATAATCTTGCAGCTCGAGATTTTACGCCGGAGCAGAATTCTACTTTTTGTAATTGTCTGAAAAGTTACAAATTCTCTCTAATGACATGTTACTGTAGCTGCGTTCTATGTCTGTAAAGGGTTGCTATAGATATAACTTCATTGTCTGGCTCTAGCGGTCCTCAGTAGCGGCACGTGGGTAAAATCACTGGGGAAGCCCAGTCAGAAACAAAGCTATATTACAACCTATGTGTTGTGATAATTGTGTTTGCTTTATAACCTGTTAGTTCATGTGCCTTGCCACCGTGATATATAGGATTAAGGCCGAGACAATAAGAAGACACAGTGGCAGAATAAATTCAACCACACCTTTCTTTCATCACAAAACTGGAGAGCAACCTCTGTCTGGTGAAGTCTACAAAGCATATTGCATGTAACAAACAGTTACATGACCTACAGCCTGGTCAAGCAAGTTAATGTTACCGACATTTTCAGACTACTAAACAACTATTGATTTAGAACCATGGAGAGTTATCGCAAGTCACAAAGATAACAGGAGCTGCCTCAACTATTCCAGCACCATTTCAACATCAACATTTCAACATAATCAAATCACCTATGCTTAGTCTAATACAGTGACAACTAAAATAAACCAAAAACAATTTTGACCAATCAACTTAAGCTAAATATGATGTGGCTAGGCTGTTCATGGTTCTGATTTCTCTATGTGTGTGTGTGTGTGTGTGTGTGTGTGTGTGTGTGTGTGTGTGTGTGTGTGTGCGCGAGTGTGTGCGCGAGTGTGTGTGTACGTGTGTACGTGTGTCTGTGCGTTCCTGCAAGCAGAAAAAGCATGTTGACTCAGCCTACTTGTAGAGAAATGTCAATGCCATCCTACTCTCTTTCATGTTGAGGAAATGCTTTTATTTTTTGTTGTCCTAGGCTACCTGGCTAAAATGCTTGCCAAACTTCCTTTCATGGGCCAACGTTAGCTAGTTAGCTTTCTACATCTAGCTACATATTAAACTTCCATCCTTTCAGGCCAGGGATACAATGTATGAATGTATGGTCGGATCAGAATCGCCTTTATAATCATTGCTCAGTACGAAGAATTAACTAAAACCACAAATCCAAATCCTTATCTCCATCCATGGCTAATTTAGGAAAGGGCCAATTTTAGCTAGCTAGCTATCTAGCCACCGGAGGACAACGAAATGCAACAATTCAAGTTGTTTCTGTCAATGTCGTATTGCTCTCGATGTGATGTGATGTGATTGAAGTGAAGCCAAATCCAAACTGACTTCCCTTGAAACTTTTTTGGTGCACCAGGACCATTCACGGTTGAGCTCACTCAGCTTAGCTCAATGCTGATTGGCTATTATTTTACCATTTTGTAATCAAGGGAGACCAAATGCTCGCTGGCTTCCCTTGCATTCAACGCTATGGGCGGCAACAATGTCATACTCTTTTTGACCAGACAGCATCAGATGGATGGCCTACACATACAGAGACAGAGGGGCGCTGTTTTGCTTGCTCTGATGCTTTTTCCGGTGAGATACATTCAGCCTTTTGCGAATTTAAGGACAATTATGAAACACAAGGAGACTAAAGATAAAAACATTTATATGTTTTTGTATTTTTTTGTTATTGGTAAATTTTTGGGGAAGCCTGGCTTCCATTGGCATCCATGAATACACGCCACTGGCGGCCATACATATGTAATAGGACCATTATTCTGCATTGCAAATTGACGTGGAATTTTATGATTTTTTCTTTAAATGTTTACAGAAAACCAATGCAAAATTGTCCATTTGTCACATCCGTAGTGGCAACACCTGTAGCCTGTCAATGCTATCCCATCGCACCTTATTCCACAAGGCTGATACCTCTCTGAACGTTTCACTTGAAGCAACTCCTGTGGCCTGTCAATGTTCTGTATTTGATGTAAATGCTATCCCATCGCACCTTATGCCACATGAGGCTGATATAAAAGGAGTAATAGCTTTTGTTGTCCTGATCCTGAATTTCTTTCATGTGTCAATCAATTGTATTTATGGTCTGACTGTGTCTGTTTGGAGTGTGTGTGTGTGTGTGTGTTATTAACCTGAGCAGTATTTAAGCACCTGACCCCCCCCCCCCCTTCCTTTTCTACCACAGACGGCCGTGTGTGAGAAGTGAGGAGGAGAGGGGGCTCCTCTCTCTCTCTCTGTCGCCCAGACTCCCATCACCATGAGCTGGAGTTTCCTGACACGCCTGCTGGAGGAAATCCACAACCACTCTACCTTCGTGGGCAAGATCTGGCTTACCGTGCTCATCGTCTTCCGCATCGTCCTTACCGCCGTGGGCGGCGAGTCCATCTACTACGACGAACAGAGCAAGTTTGTGTGTAACTCAGGCCAGCCGGGGTGCGAGAACGTCTGCTATGACGCATTCGCACCGCTCTCACACGTCCGCTTCTGGGTCTTTCAGATCATCCTGGTGGCTACGCCGTCGCTCATGTACCTGGGCTACGCCGTCAACAAGATTGCCAGGCGTGAGGAGAGAGCTGAGGGTGGAGGAGGGGGAGGTGGGGGAGGAGGACTGTCCCAGCGCAAGCCCAGGAAGCTCTACCTCGGGGCCAGAAGGCAACACCGGGGCATGGAGGAGGCCGAGGATGACCAGGAGGAGGACCCCATGATCTATGAGGTTCCCGAGGTGGAGAGTGAGACGGGGGGAGGCGACGGGGGAGGAGGTGGTGGTGGCGGAGGAGCTGGAGGCGGCGGGTGCCAGGGTAAAGGCAAGGTGCGCCATGACGGACGCCAGCGCATCAAGGAGGACGGGCTGATGCGGATCTACGTGCTGCAGCTGCTGGCACGCTCCATGCTGGAGGTGGCCTTTCTGGGGGGACAGTACGCCCTCTACGGCCTGGCGGTGCCCTCCATCTACGTGTGCTCGGGCCGGCCATGCCCGCACAGTGTGGACTGCTTTGTGTCACGCCCCACCGAGAAGACCATCTTCCTGCTCATCATGTACGCCGTGTCGCTGCTCTGCTTGGCACTCAACGTGTGGGAGATGCTCCACCTGGGCGTTGGTACCATCTGCGACATCCTGCGCTCCCGCCGCGGACCGCGCTCCGAGGAGGACCTGTACGGCCTGCGGGGTGGCGGGGGTCCCGGGGGGCCGCCCACGTTCCACGACGGAGGAGGAGGAGTGGGGGGCGATGGTTACAGCAGCTACCCCTACTCCTGGAACGCCCCGTCAGCGCCGCCGGGCTACAACATCGCCGTCAAGCCCCCAACACTGATGGCGCCAACTGTGGCGCCCGATGGGCAGCTGCCCTTCACCGACCTGAGCAACGCCAAGATGGCGTGCCGGCAGAATCGCGCCAACATCGCCCAGGAGGAGCGGCGGCAGTACGCCAGCAATGAGGATAACTTCCCATCGTCAGGTGGCGTGAGGGACGCTCGTGGCGCCCTCCAGAGGGAGATTCGGCAGGCGCAGGACCGGTTGGAGGTGGCCATCCAGGCCTACAGCCAGGAACAGGGCCACAGCAACCCCGGCAAGCCCCACCGTGATCGCAAGCACCGGCAAGCCTCCAAGCACACCTCCAGCAAGGCCGAAAGGGGAAGCAGCAGCAATAGCAGCAGCAAGTCGGGCGAGGGCAAGGGCTCCGAGTGGATCTGACATCTACAATAGATCATTCTTAAAGCGGACTTAGTATTTAGCTCCTAAAGACATAACTGACGCTAGTGCCCCCTGGAGACAGGCTGAAATTAGTTTGTAACTTGAAGTTTGTAACATCCCTAAATGCAAATGAGGTAATCAATGTCAGCTGTACCTAATGTTACAACTGTCAGCTGTACCTAATGTAAGAAAAGAAAAAAATCTATGTTTCATTAATTTGTTGGACTTCCTAAGGTTTTATAAGTAATGCTATGTTAAAAAGCAATAAAGGAAAAGACACAGTAATATTTTATTTTGAAATGTGTATCGGTATAAATATGCCATAGGTCGGTGCTATGACGTTATCTTTGCTTCCACAAAGAAATGGGAGACTTCTAAGCCGCATCCTTAGAATAACTATCTGAAGTGCCTTCTTACTACACCAAGAAATATATTGTGCGTGTAAAAAGTGTGCTTCCCTTGCCAAACTGCTCACAAGATGGACGCTTGTATGTGAAATGTTGCCATAGTAAAGAGATTTGTGGGTCACTACTGTTACCAAGAACTGGAGTCAGAGTTTTTTTCTGTCTTTCTATCCACCTGTCTCTTTAATGGCTCTTGGGCTTCATCTGGTGGTCAAAGCCATGAACAGTTCAGATTTTTTATTAGCCTACAGTGTAGGCCTGCGTTACTGCTTAAAATATGCAGTTTGAATATTATTTTTTTCATTGTATTTCAGTGTGAAGTGTTCCAGGAGAAGGCATTGAAGGAACCCTTTAACCGTTGAAAGACCAGTCAGTATTTTACAAGGAACTATTTCATGGTTGCTCCATTGTATGTGTGAGGAATACTCTAGAGAGCATACTATAGAGAGGGAGAACATTTGACAACAATTGTTTCTATTTTCATAATGTGTACAACATTGTTGTTCCGTTTTTATTGTGTTTGGGAGAGACAATTAAGCAGCACTTTGATTGGTTCAGTTACTGTATGTTTTTATATTAATGTTCTTCATTTCCTCAGTTGATGACAATGTTCCACAGAAGAAGAAAAAGATAACAATCTATTTTCAGTGTTGCTGAAGCTGTATGGAAAGGCTGCTTCAATGTATTGATTCAAGGGACATTACACACTCCAAAATCAAAGTTTGTCAGATGCTAAAATTGTTATTTTGGTCTCCAATTCCCAGGCCCATCTGTTTTTGTAGATGTACAGTAGCTATTTGCCACAATCCAAAAATAATGAAAACATTTGGCATGGCACCATGTCATTTTCAGATTTGCGGTGCTTATCTTTTCCATTCATTTTGGGCGTGGAATGTTTACTCATCTTGACATTAGGCTACTTTTGTAGTCTGAAAACATCTGTATTTATTTTAATTTTAGAGTGGAATGTCCCTTTAACATGTTTTTACGTTGAGGTCAGGTCATGGTGTGTCATCTAGTCAGCCTCATTTCCCTACTATCGATGGTGTGTGTTCGCCTGATGTTCTGGTGCTTGTGTATCTCAAACCAGAGACTGTAGGTATTTAATTTTTGGGGTGAATTGGGTGAAGAAACAACTATCATTTGTAGTGACATCCTTTTTGTGTTCGAGCATGTATGCCAAAACATACCACTACATGTGGGTGGGAAATAAGAGAAGGATACCTGTCTTGGCTACTTTTTTTTGTATTAGCTATATGTTTATTTTACTTGCCTTTTTTCCTAATTCAAATGTTAAAGTGGAAAGCTGAGAGCCCTTGCACTGTGCCAATATTTCCCTTTTGGGAAATCATTTTGTGCAAAAAAAGAAAGTGCATGTTCTGAATAATTTTTTATAAAGGGAGTATGAATAAACAAAGTTTGAAATGTTTAAGTATTTGTCTGTTGTGTTGTGTGTGTTCTTTTGGAGTGGAATGAATTGTCCTATTTACTTACTATTTCCCACCCTATGATAAATGTAAGCACAATTATTGTGATGAGCTTGAACAAGTATTTTGCCAGAGATACTGGATATAATAACGAGATGCTTGTGTCTCAGCCCTAGCAATGGGATTCGTTTTCCACAGAGCAGAACGGTGAGCTGTCAAGCTCCCGCCTATTCCTCTGGACGTGTGGATACATCTCGTTATTTGAATACTTTTTTTGAATATTCGATGAGGGGTGTTGATGTCAACCGCCTGTATTCAATGGAGAGTGAGACGCTTGCTAGCCTAGACTGTCTCAGGGACAACTCCGATATAAAGTGTTTTTTCTGAAAGTTGCTGGGATGTCATGTGCATCACACTATCAGTACACTCGTAACAACCTGAGCATTCCGGAACTTCTATTAGATCAAATAAGCCTCACAGATCAAAATAGCAATTCATTTTTATCTTTACTAAACTCTCTCATTGCCCCACACACAAAAAAACTCCTCACTTGCTTAATAATTAATGATCTGCTTAAAGCCTCTTCCTCTCTGCTTACACTAACTACCACAAAATGACTATAAAGATTATTATTATTAATTCTCCAATAAAAATAACCAATGATGTAGGAAGATGAATCCATAAATGGTTGAAATGTATGATATGACAAATATATTATTTATTTATTGAACTTTTGAATATCTATTCTAGGGTCAGCAGTGCTATAATTTGAAATTGCACAGGCCTATCTAAAACTCCTCCGCCTACATACCCACGCTGTTTGCCCCACGTGTCTTGCCGTAGTATGCCCAACTGCCCGGATGACAGGGGAGTTTGAAAAACAATGGACTGTAAAAACCGGCGGTTGTAGTGAGAGCTAACTAGTGTTGTGATATAAATTGGAAACTTAAATTCGGCCATTAGAATTCTAGCTAGCTAGTTCTGCAACACAAGGTAAGTCGAATGATAAGCCTGTCGCTAACGTCATGTTTTTTCAGCTTTTGTAACTAACGTCGTTAGCAGCTAGCCACAGATAAAATAGAAGCTAACTAAGTTAGCTAGCTAACCTCGAATGCATAGGTCCTACTAGCTTGCAAGCTACCGTTCAATGCTGAATTGACCCCTGCTAGCTAGTTGCCTGATAGATCAGACTGTAAATCATAGATTTCTGGGATCCAGTCTGAATTAAAGCAGTGCAAAAACGTGGAGAGTTTCCTTACAAGCTAGAATGTTGAATACTTACATTTGAACGTACTCATCCGGTTGTCTGTGCGGTTGCTCCTTATTCATGTCGAAATGTTATAAAAAATATCCACAGGAAAGTATTATTAACGACTTTTTAGAGCGCCAGCCAGTACTGCTGTTGAAATTTCACCTGGCACATCTGCAAAACCATGTAAACACCTGCAACGTTTCGGTAAGTATAGACGGGTGGGTTGTTTTAGCAACAAAACGATGCATGCGCAACCATGAGAAAAACAGGCAGGGTTGGATTGTTGACAATATGTAAACTATAATTCATCTCCAAATCTTTATTGAAATGAAAACAAATACATTTGCACAATGAGCACTTGTCTATCAAATACATCGTTACAGTTGTTGTTTAGCTAGCTTGCGAATTTTAGCCATATAAGCATAGCCGTTACAGACTCAAAACACCTAAAAAACAAGTGGTGAAAAAAGTTCCCAATTGTCATACTTGAGTAAAGTAAAGATAACTTCTTAGAAAATGACTCAAGTAAAAGTGAGTCACCCAGTAAAATACTAACGTTACTTGAGTAAAAGTATAAAAGTATTTGGTTTTAAATATACTTAAGTATCAAAAGTGAAAGTAATAAGTTATTTCAAGTTCCTTTTATTAAGCAAACCAGACGGGACCATTTTCTTGTTTTTTAAATTTACGGAGAGCCAGCGGCACACTCCAACAATCGAACATCATTTACAAATGAAGCATGTGTGTTTAGTGAGTTCGCCAGATAAGAGGCAGTAGGGAAGACCAAGGATGTTCTCTTGATAAGTGCGTGAATTGGACCATTTTCCTGTCCTGCAAAGCATTCACAATCTAACAAGTACTTTTGGGTGTCAGGGGAAATGTATGGAGTAAAAGGTTCAATATTTTATTTAGGAATGTAGTGAAGCAAAGTAAAAGTTGTCAAATATAAATAGTAAAGTACAGATACCCCCCAAAAACGACTTAATTAGTACTTAAAAGTATTTTTACATAAGTACTTTACACCACTGAAAAACAAGACATGGTATCAATAATAGGCATGGACGGTATACTGCCTGGGGTATTTGGAAATAGCCAAGGAATGGTTTTTCAATACCATTGAAACTATTTAATTGAAGTTTATTAATAAATTATAATATTTGTAGCTACTTTTTAAGTAAATACCTGAAGTCAGCATGTGTAATGTGTGAAGAAGATCGTGTTCTTCATTTCACCAGTCACATACTTTTATTATGAAGCTTACCGGTAGTCCCCAGCCGTGGTGTTTGTTTACAAGCACACCTTGTGAGTTACTCACTGTTGTTATGCACGTGCCAAATGATCTACTTACAGTATGGAATTCACAACTAAATACCGCTAGATACAGTGCCTTCAGAAAGTATTCATACCCCTTGACTTATAACACATTTTGTTGTTAAAGCCTGAATTCAAAATGGATTAAATTGGTTTTGTTTCTCACCCATCTACACACAATACTCCATATGACAGTGAAAACATGGTTTTAGAAATTTTTGCAAATGTATTGAAAATGAAATACAGAAATATCTAATTTGCAGTGTTTCGGAAAATATTCATACCCTTCCCTTTTTCCACATTTTGTTACGTTACAGCCTTATTGTAAAATGGATTAAATAATTTTTTCCCCTCATCAATCTGCACACAGTACCCCATAATGACAAAGCCAAAACAGGTTTTTAGACATTTTTGCAACAGTATTAAAAATAAAAAACAGAAATACCTTATTTACATAATTATTCAGACCCTTTGCTATGAGACTCGAAATTGAGCTCAGGTGCGTCCTGTTTCCATTTATCATCCTTGAGATGTTTCTACAACTTGATTGGAGTTCACATGTGGTAAATTCAATTGATTGGACATGATTTGGAAAGGCACACACCT